AGTATAAGAGTATTGACATATGCGTGGCTCATTTATGATTGGTTGGTTAGAAATAAGGTTGAAAGTTGCTTGCGTCCGCCATTAATCCTCCAAACAAACCTACGAAGCGTAGCTGTAATTAGGATTTTGTGGGAAGGTGGTAGTTTATTCTTCCATATGTGTATTATTTAGACTTAAACAAAAGTTATAACTTCGGCGTTTTTGGTGATTGCTGTAACGTATGCGAAAGCAAAATAGTACATATTGATTTGCGTGTTATTGTTAAGTAATTTTCTAGGTAAATTTTGGTTACTTGAATTAATAAAATGGTTAGCTGTTCGGCTATCGGATGTTCTAACAGAAGCGAAAAAGGATTTATAATTAAATACTTTCCAAAAAATTCACAAAGAAGAAAAGAGTGGGCAATGAAAGTGAAAAGAAAAAACTGGACCCCTACTGATCGTTTAGTTTTATGTGAGGTAATTGATTTACAGTACATGAATATATATCCACACATATATAAATGGTAATTTTCAAATTTATGTAGGTGCATTTTGCTCCTGAAATGTGGGAGAAGACACGCCAGGACGGAACAAGGAAATTAAAATGTAACGCAGTTCCTACTTTGTTCAGCTTTTCAAAGATTGTTAAAACACGAAAACCTACAGAACAGAGGAGTGTAATGGAAGAACTTGAAATTACAAGTAGAGCAGGCCCTTCGACTAGTGCATGTAATCATGTCATCATCAACCGAAAGTGACTCTCTGGGGTCTTCCGATGATAATGATGTTAGAAAATCGCCGTTCCTCGCATCCTCAGACAAGCATTCCCCTGTTAATATAACAAAATCACTACCTCTCACATTATCAGATACACAGGAGCAATGCATTAATCGTCTAAATGCGAAATGTATTACACTTAAAAACAAACTACGAGCTTCACAAAACAAAACTGCAAAGACTACAAAGACAGCTAGTGAGCGAAAGGAAAAATAAAAAGGTTCCAAATATTTCAAATTGCTATCTACAGTTTTCACTGCTGATCAAATCTATGCTATTGATCACCCGATGAAATTTCAAAGGTGGTCTAATGAAACTGTCAAAAAGGCCTTATCTTTAAAATTTACTTGCGGAAATAATGGATATGAACAATTACTAAGGCAAAAAATACCACTTCCATCATTACGAACACTGGCTAGGCGTACAGAAAACTTCCAATTTACTTCAGGAATTTTAGACGAAGTATTTGAATTTTTAAAAATCAAAGTAGAAAACATGAAGGATCATGAAAAAGACTGCGTTATTGGGTTGGATGAAATGGCAATTACAGTCTTCAGTATATGATACTTCCACGAAGCAATATATTGGTAATATCACATTGCCCAACCATTCTGGAGTTGCTTCTAATGCACTTGTAATAATGGTATAAGGTCAAAGGGGAGGCAAACAGTTGCATATTACTTAACAGGTTTGTTACGTGTTACATTTACTTTTAATTTATCATTGAAGTTAATTTTGTTATTTAAGGAAGTGCAACAAAAGGTACAGTGTATGAAGACATTCTAATGGAAATAATTGCTAAATCTGAAGCTCTCGGATTAAAAATAGCCAACATCACCTCAGATATGGGTAGTTCCAATATGGCCCTTTGGAAAAAATGGAACATAACAAGTGGGCGATATACAATATCAAATAACTTCATTCAGCATCCTTTGTGTAGTTCTCGTAGAATTTATATCTTGGCAGATGTTCCACATTTATTCAAAAACATAAAGAGTATGTTAATTGCCAACAAAGTTATATAGGGTAAAATCACCCATATTGAACCGATTCCCAAATTGAACCGCATTGATTTTTGGCATATGCCCGATAGGTTGCAGCTAGTTCATGTAAATATTGAAAAAAGCATCAACGGGCAGCATTAGTTCGATGGTAGCCTGCAAAACAGTACGTGCAGTGCCTTTGTACGACCAAAGAAAGTTTGACACGTGGTTGTAACTAATACTTAGTGTGTTTACCTAAGAAGATTCCACGACCCTCAATAAAGGTAGGAAATACTGATTAACTCATGAAGCAAGTATAAGGTGTAGGGCATCTCCCGCTATCAATAGAGAATTTATGCTCTTTATATATTCTCTATTATTAGGTTATGTTTTTAATTTGGAGTAAGTTGCTCAAATTGAACCGAAATAAGTAGCTTTAATTGCACCATGGTTCAATTAAGGAAACCCGGTTCAATTAGGGCAAGCAATTTTCTTTTAATNTATAAATTCAGCAATACATGTATTAATGCTTACACTCACTGACATCGTCAAGAGCCAATAACATCATGTGACCAGTAACAGATTTAACAGTGACACGTTTACGATCGATGACGTTTCGTCACTTACCTACTCCTCTGTGCTAGAATCGGTTATCTTATCCTACTGAGCATGTTCGTAACTTTTATCACAATTCCATCCAGTACCTGCAAATTATATACATCAATACAACGAATTTAAAATTTTTATTGGGATTCAATTAAAACAAAATCTGAAGTGGGCTGATGTACAGCAGACATACCAACAGTTATTTCAGATGCCTACAGCTGCTATGATTTGAAAAGAAAATAGTTTGTTGGACGAAATAAGTTACTTGGTAAATTATTATAACGATGTCCTAAAGAAATGGGAGGAGATGAAGAGCAGTACAGAACAACGATGGATAGAGGTCTTCAAAAATTTCAAAGACAGCGGAATACCATTCCAGAATTGCCTGGCCATCGTCCAGTACCTTCAGTAGTAGTGTTGTTTGTTTCTAATTTAAGTGCACCACCAACAATTCAAAAAAATCCTCGGTCTTGTTGTCCCGCATTGACTTATTATAAAGTTGACCGCCTTAGGAAAACTTGTATTTCGGAGGGGTGAGCCGGTTCTCGTCTCGAACACCGAATTTCAAAATAACAAGTCTTGTTCTGTAAGCCTTTAAAATGTTGCAAGAATCTGTTGTTTCATTTGAGAACGCCCTCTGTAAGTTGGTAGACGCTATTGACTGCGATTACAGTGAAATACGTCCTTCCTTCTCTACACAACAGCGAAATTCCACGAGTAAAGGTGTAACCTCATGCTGACGCTTGACGCTAGCTTTGAGCGTCAAATCACATCACGTGATCAATTTAGGCTGTGCTGCCACCTAGAAAAAATCTTGTAACGTCAAATTGTAAAAAGCTAAACACAAATTAGCTTTTTATTTTAAAGATCAACAGTTAATTCAGAATGTATATAATCGAACTCGATAGTAATCGATATTGAAAAAATTAAGAACACTTATTGTTTATTTCAAAAGTAAATCTCAACTAAACCTTCGATTTTATTTATTATTTATTTTATAAAAACGGCAGTTTTTGAAGATTATGAAGATCTAGAAATTCTGGAAGATATAAGAGTTATATTACTTAAAATCTAAACAATAATTATAACAGAAATATTTTTTAGTTTTTTTTTGTAATAGCAGACTTATTATATTCACTTTTTTTGTTTTAAGGAAATATCATTTGTTTATGTTTGTGGTGTATGCGAGGAGATTTGCAACAATTACTTAGAGCATAATTGTTTGAAGAAATATAAAAGTCATCACATCGATCGTCATTATTACCCCCTGTTAGGTTAGTAACATCAACTTCTTAAATCCCATAAATAAACAGTATAGCAACTAACAACATTTTATTAATGTATTTAATTTAAATATGATGGTGTTACAATTATTCGGCGTGCTTTATTGGAAAACGGACGTGAAGGCCTAGTAAAGGAGAAAATTTATTCAACAAATAAAGAAATGTAAGTTTTTTTAAAAGCTAATCTGATTATGGTCTTTCAGTATTCAACAGCGCAGATTTTGATGTGTCTATCATTATTACTGGTTTCACTGAAAATAGTACACTAATATAACCAAAGTAATCATCATAAAGAATGCATAAATTGCTATTAATTTTAATTTCAGATTCCTAATTCAAAAAACAAAAAAATTAAACCAAAAGCGCAGTTATCTGCAACATTCAGTAAACGATTAAATAATACTGAAGTCGAGTTGTCAATAAATGAGGTGCAAAAAAGAATCCGTTTGTGGAACCATAATGTTCCTCTTAAATAAAAAAAAATGTTCCCGCCGTAATTTAAATAAAGGCTGAATCCAAAATTTTTTTGTTTAGATTCTTTTTTACAATTTTGTACAACTAATTCATTGCATAACAAAGCACTAATAATTCTTTTGCGCCTGATTCTTTTCCTTATTTCAGCTTCACGAATAATTTTTTTTGCACTGATAAATCCACAATTGATAATCATAATCGCCTGCCATCGAAATCGGCATTACCGACATACAATTTTAGTGAAACGACAACAGATGACGCGACAGCGGTTACGATTGCCGGGGGAATTCCCCTCTAGGTTATAGCGTATATTGAGTAATAGTATGTAGTTTCGCAAGTTGCAATAGTTTAAAATTTTTGCGAGAAGTACTTTTACCTACCCTGAAAGTAAGTAATGTATTAAGTACTTCAGTCATGCTTTACAATAATTATTTTTTGCAATAGTGCTGGTTAGAAACTTTGCTCTTCGAATCAAAACTTATTAAAAACTCTTAATAGGTAGTCATTATTTGTTTATTAATCTGCTGTTAATATTATTGCAGCTAATAAAAGATGGAAATACAAAGAAGGATATGCTGCGTCGAAGGATATGGGGAAATTACCCCAAGGTAGTAATGCAATGATGTTCAGTACACAAGAGTATATTTATTTGTTGTAATTCTTGTAGGTACAATTTCCCAAAGAACCCCATTTGAAACGCGTATGGGTAGAAAGGGTGTTTTCTGTCCAACACAGAAAAGCCGTGCCGTACAGTTTACACAATTATGGGTGTGTGGCCGGCATTTCCACCCCATATGCAAAAGGGCAAGTGGGAAACTAAGACGCCATGCAATCCCAACTTTGTATTTACCTTGTAAGCATTTCAATTGGAAGAAACAATAAAAAATTAATGTAAAATGTTCTACCTTCATTATGCAGTTCCTGTAGGAATTGAAGACCAAGATGCCGCTTTCCATTTTCCTGAAGTAACAGCGGTTCCAACGAAAGTGACAGGTATTGTGAAACTTAAGTTCCAAAAAAAAATGTTTTGTAGAACTTCTTCAGGTAGAGGAATGGGGGCAGACAGAATTGCCCCCATTAAAGAATGAAAAAGTACTGCATTCAGTGAAAACATATAGGGGAAAAATAAGAACAGTTTCAACTGCAGGTAGTTATGCAGATAACAGTTTCAAATATCCAAAACATATATTTTTATTTGTTGTAGAAAGTACAGTCACAATGGACAATACTGAACCTAGTACTTCTGCAGTTTCTGAAACGTTAGCAGTACTAAATTAGCTAAAGAACAATTTCTTTGTTCATACAAATACACCTGTCTTTAGTTAATTTATTTATACACATTAAAATGCAAAAAGTGCATTACTATATATGAGTAGCAATATGTATGTAAATTTTAAAAGCTTAGTTACATGGTTATTGAAGTGTAATGACTTTTTTTAAGGGATTGGGCAAGGTTCGAAGAGGAACGACCACATATTTGAGCATTTGCGAACGACGGTGTCCAAACTGAAGAATCCGGTTAAATTCTGTGTACTTATGTTTGACGAACTTTTTTTGCAACCTGCACTTCAGTACTCTAAACGGCTGGACTTTGTTGAAGGTTTTGTAGATTTGGGCGGAGGCTTTCATAAGAATCGATTTGCTGACCATGCTGTGGTATTTATGATCAAATGCATTCGGAGTGGTTGGAAACAGCCTGTGTTTTTATTGATTTTGTGAAGGTACAACTGCTACTGTAGACTTGGTTCAGCTTATAAAAGACTTTGTTCGGCGTCTCCATAGCACTGGTCTAAAAGTAGTTGGTTGCATATATATTTGATCAGGGATCTACCAACTGAGCCGCTATCAACACTCTCCAGAGTGCCTTCGTTCAGGGGAGCAGTGTCGATATCTCGGTTATATAATCGATGGTGAAGAAGTTGTTCCAATATTCGATCCGCCTCATCTGTTGAAGGGTATTAGAAACAGTCTTCTTACTAAAGATATACATTTCACACAGGACGGCAAGGAGAAGGTAGCGATCTGGTCACATATACTGCAATTATATCGGATAGATCAGGGTCTTTATAAGCAGTGCAACAAGTTAACAAACGAGCACGTACTACCTCATAAAATTCGGAAAATGAAGGTAAAAATTGCAACGCAAGTGTTTAGCCACACCGTTGCTGCTGCCATGCGTACCAGGATATGTTACAGCCCTTTCGTACTCTTCCGCAAATGACACCGCCGATCTCATGTTTTTTGATGGAAGATATAAGAGTTATATTACTTAAAATCTAAACAATAATTATAACAGAAATATGTTTTAGTTTTTTTTTGTAATAGCAGACTTATTATATTCACTTTTTTTGTTTTAAGGAAATATCATTTGTTTATGTTTGTGGTGTATGCGAGGAGATTTGCAACAATTACTTAGAGCATAATTGTTTGAAGAAATATAAAAGTCATCACATCGATCGTCATTATTACCCCCTGTTAGGTTAGTAACATCAACTTCTTAAATCCCATAAATAAACAGTATAGCAACTAACAACATTTTATTAATGTATTTAATTTAAATATCATGGTGTTACAATTATTCGGCGTGCTTTATTGGAAAACGGACGTGAAGGCCTAGTAAAGGAGAAAATTTATTCAACAAATAAAGAAATGTAAGTTTTTTTAAAAGCTAATCTGATTATGGTCTTTCAGTATTCAACAGCGCAGATTTTGATGTGTCTATCATTATTACTGGTTTCACTGAAAATAGTACACTAATATAACCAAAGTAATCATCATAAAGAATGCATAAATTGCCATTAATTTTAATTTCAGATTCCTAATTCAAAAAACAAAAAAATTAAACCAAAAGCGCAGTTATCTGCAACATTCAGTAAACGATTAAATAATACTGAAGTCGAGTTGTCAATAAATGAGGTGCAAAAAAGAATCCGTTTGTGGAACCATAATGTTCCTCTTAAATAAAAAAAAAATGTTCCCGCCGTAATTTAAATAAAGGCTGAATCCAAAATTTTTTTGTTTAGATTCTTTTTTACAATTTTGTACAACTAATTTATTGCATAACAAAGCACTAATAATTCTTTTGCGCCTGATTCTTTTCCTTATTTCAGCTTCACGAATAATTTTTTTTGCACTGATAAATCCACAATTGATAATCATAATCGCCTGCCATCGAAATCGGCATTACCGACATACAATTTTAGTGAAACGACAACAGATGACGCGACAGCGGTTACGATTGCCGGGGGAATTCCCCTCTAGGTTATAGCGTATATTGAGTAATAGTATGTAGTTTCGCAAGTTGCAATAGTTTAAAATTTTTGCGAGAAGTACTTTTACCTACCCTGAAAGTAAGTAATGTATTAAGTACTTCAGTCATGCTTTACAATAATTATTTTTTGCAATAGTGCTGGTTAGAAACTTTGCTCTTCGAATCAAAACTTATTAAAAACTCTTAATAGGTAGTCATTATTTGTTTATTAATCTGCTGTTAATATTATTGCAGCTAATAAAAGATGGAAATACAAAGAAGGATATGCTGCGTCGAAGGATATGGGGAAATTACCCCAAGGTAGTAATGCAATGATGTTCAGTACACAAGAGTATATTTATTTGTTGTAATTCTTGTAGGTACAATTTCCCAAAGAACCCCATTTGAAACGCGTATGGGTAGAAAGGGTGTTTTCTGTCCAACACAGAAAAGCCGTGCCGTACAGTTTACACAATTATGGGTGTGTGGCCGGCATTTCCACCCCATATGCAAAAGGGCAAGTGGGAAACTAAGACGCCATGCAATCCCAACTTTGTATTTACCTTGTAAGCATTTCAATTGGAAGAAACAATAAAAAATTAATGTAAAATGTTCTACCTTCATTATGGAGTTCCTGTAGGAATTGAAGACCAAGATGCCGCTTTCCATTTTCCTGAAGTAACAGCGGTTCCAACGAAAGTGACAGGTATTGTGAAACTTAAGTTCCAAAAAAAAATGTTTTGTAGAACTTCTTCAGGTAGAGGAATGGGGGCAGACAGAATTGTCCCCATTAAAGAATGAAAAAGTACTGCATTCAGTGAAAACATATAGGGGAAAAATAAGAACAGTTTCAACTGCAGGTAGTTATGCAGATAACAGTTTCAAATATCCAAAACATATATTTTTATTTGTTGTAGAAAGTACAGTCACAATGGACAATACTGAACCTAGTACTTCTGCAGTTTCTGAAACGTTAGCAGTACTAAATTAGCTAAAGAACAATTTCTTTGTTCATACAAATACACCTGTCTTTAGTTAATTTATTTATACACATTAAAATGCAAAAAGTGCATTACTATATATGAGTAGCAATATGTATGTAAATTTTAAAAGCTTAGTTACATGGTTATTGAAGTGTAATGACTTTTTTTAAGGGATTGGGCAAGGTTCGAAGAGGAACGACCACATATTTGAGCATTTGCGAACGACGGTGTCCAAACTGAAGAATCCGGTTAAATTCTGTGTACTTATGTTTGACGAACTTTTTTTGCAACCTGCACTTCAGTACTCTAAACGGCTGGACTTTGTTGAAGGTTTTGTAGATTTGGGCGGAGGCTTTCATAAGAATCGATTTGCTGACCATGCTGTGGTATTTATGATCAAATGCATTCGGAGTGGTTGGAAACAGCCTGTGTTTTTATTGATTTTGTGAAGGTACAACTGCTACTGTAGACTTGGTTCAGCTTATAAAAGACTTTGTTCGGCGTCTCCATAGCACTGGTCTAAAAGTAGTTGGTTGCATATATATTTGATCAGGGATCTACCAACTGAGCCGCTATCAACACTCTCCAGAGTGCCTTCGTTCAGGGGAGCAGTGTCGATATCTCGGTTATATAATCGATGGTGAAGAAGTTGTTCCAATATTCGATCCGCCTCATCTGTTGAAGGGTATTAGAAACAGTCTTCTTACTAAAGATATACATTTCACACAGGACGGCAAGGAGAAGGTAGCGATCTGGTCACATATACTGCAATTATATCGGATAGATCAGGGTCTTTATAAGCAGTGCAACAAGTTAACAAACGAGCACGTACTACCTCATAAAATTCGGAAAATGAAGGTAAAAATTGCAACGCACGTGTTTAGCCACACCGTTGCTGCTGCCATGCGTACCAGGATATGTTACAGCCCTTTCGTACTCTTCCGCAAATGACACCGCCGATCTCATGTTTTTTGATAGCGTCAATGGCTCACAGATGAAATCATCTATCGGTAAGCGACTCCGGTCACCTTCTGTTCCGGAAGTCTGCTATTGCTGTCCTGCAAACCATGTCCTTCAAAACCAACAATACCAAAACCACCATTCCTAGCCGTAAGAACTGGATTTCTCCTCTGAAGGGATTTCTGCATTTGTGGGAAAGATTGAAAGGGTCCTTTCAATTTCTCCCAGGAATTTTAATCAAGATTTCACAAATTAGAAACAATTCAGTGAGAAATCCCACTTGTTGTTCCTTTGCCGCATCCTTTAAAACCATCCTTTTAAACAATCTTTCTTCACCACGTTCCGCAGGAGCTAACTATGAAGAGGATCTTTCGAAAGGGATATTGTCGACATTAAAACGTTTTGTCACCGAATGACACGATGTGGAACAGAAGGATGTTACAGAGACAGTTCGTCAAATAGAGTTTCCCTCCCTTGTTATGAATGACTTTGCTACGGCGTACGTTGCTGGTTTTGTGACCAAACGGTGATTTAGCAAATTTTCTTGTAATTCGTGTAAGAATCTTATGGAAACCACACGTGAATTATCTGAAAATGTGTTTGTTCATTGCAAAGAGTACCAGGGTGATTCATTGTTTCACCCTTCTAGTAATTTTGCAGCTTTGATTAAAACTATTACTAATCAAGCGTTGCAGGTGCTACCGGGTCTTCTGCACCAAATTTGTGTATTGAAGAGGTTACTAGATTTTATTAAAATTGACGATTACCTATGTTCGGCTTATATTGACAGACAAAAACACTTTTTCAAAATTACAGCCCAGCTTATTTTATTCATTTATATTAAGGAACTAAATTGCATTTTGAAAGAAAAAATCCAGAAGCCTTAAGCGGATCCCCTCTTTAATCTTGCTGCTGCTAAATACAGCAAACATAAATAATTTACGCTATTTAGAATAAGCGGTAGGTTCTTTAAAAAGCAGCAGAAAACTCTTTACGCTTTATGACATGTATGTTTTGTACTATTCTATCGCAAATTTAGCAATTAGCAAAAAGGTAAATACACTTGTAGTTTCCTTCCTATTTTATTCGATTAATAAATAACAAAGTCGATGTACATATATATCTTTTTACAGCACGAAAACTCAAGATCTGGCGCATCCGATCAAGAGGACTGTGGAATCGGCCCCTAAAAGAGCCAAATCTGCTGTAAAAAAATGCTACTATTCATATGTCCCTTCCAAGTACTCGAAAAACCCACGCAAGTTACTGATATTATAGAAAAATCCATTGATCGAGTTATTCAGGATTACGTTTCATCAGAGAGTGAAATGGAAATGAAAACAACTGAAGCTAATAGTTCAAAAAGCCTTACTTGGAATGCAGTTATTATTGGTACGCATCTCAGAACTTTTCTCAGAAGAAAGCTTAGGCGTGAAACGAGAAATTTATACCACTTATTTTGAAAAAACTCCTTACGATTTGTAAATCAAAACATACTGAAAATAATGGTTGAAGAAACCAGATAGAGTAGAGAAAATACACCAAAAGCAAGAATTTAAGGTTGGCATGAAACCACCACTAAGAAAATGGAAATGTTTATCGATATATTATATTGCATGGGACTATCTCAATTTCCGACTATTGAATTTTATTGGTCCAAGAAAATTTTATATTACAATAAAATAAAGAGTGTGATGTCCAGGAATCGTTTTCTGATTCTGCTCAAAATGTGGCATTTTAGCCAATGTGTTTAAAGACCAAGAAAATGAAAGTTCACAAATCAAGGTCTACGACGATGTATATCTTCAGAACTGCAAAAAATGTTTGTAAATTAATAATTCATTAAATAAGTGTCAAAATAATGTTAAATGTAATATTTGCGCGGGCGAGCCGTTACCTACTAGAAGATCTGGTCTGGAGTTTACTTACTTACTTCATTTAACAACAGTCGATGACCCGTATAGCTTGTTACTAGCACTGTATGTGCAGTCAGTATTGACTGTTTTAGCAGTGGATTTACTGCATTTATCTTCGATTTACTGTTCTACTGTTTTCACGTTAAAATCTCCTATTAAAATTACTCAGTACAATATACAAAAACAAGCGCAAGTAACTCCAATTTCACGGTCTATTCATACCGAAAATGCTCGCTCTGCTTTTTATTGCCGTTGGATTTTAATAATAAACCACCGAGGAATTTTCTGCGTAGGTATGCTGAAAATGCTCGCTCTGCTAATTAGACCTACGGATAATGAGAGAATTGTTTTGTTAACAATAGTTTAATTTAAATTTTATTCGTCAATATCGCTGATTCGACGGAACTTGAATCTTGACGAAACTCTTGTGTGGCTAGACTGACTTGCGAGTTTCGATGATTTATGGAGCCAGACCATAGATTCAGTCATAATGAGGGAGAAAGAAACTGGACTAAGACAAGTCTCTGAAAGAGGGCAGCAGCTCTTTCAGTACTCAAGGTGGCAGAGATCACGAGGATCGGTATGGCACTTTGATGCACAATATTGCGATGTGGAAGGCAACGAGAAACTACCACATTATTATCCCGAGTANAATGATACAAAAATGTTTTTTTCTTAAAATCAGTTTATCTCTATACGTCGCCAGTTTTTGCGGTTTTTGCGTAGCCAAAATATAAGCTGACATATCAGCCAATGCACACATCAAAACAAATATTTAAATATAATGCTTTATGGTCCTCAGAAAAGAGACTGAATTTTTGTGTATCAAAGTGCCCCCCCTCCCCCTACTAGTCAAACGTTAATGTTTAAAATACCAAATTGTCATAATTTAAAAAATAAGCTTATTTCTAGGTTTGTCTAAGGTTGAAAATTCTTAGCATGAAAAAACTTAATCGTAAAACATATAGTAGCAAAACGATGAGATCTTAAAATTCATTGTAGACAGTATCATCAATCTTGCTTCTTAAGTTTGCGATTTTCCTTAATTGTACCTACATTAAGTATTTTTATATTTTTAAACTGTTTTTAAATAAATACATTACAAATTTTTGTTAATTTGAAANCTTGAATTAATAAAATGGTTAGCTGTTCGGCTATCGGATGTTCTAACAGAAGCGAAAAAGGATTTATAATGAAAATTCACAAAGAAGGAAAGAGTGGACAATGAAAGTGAAAAGAAAAAACTGGACCCCTACTGATCGTTTAGTTTTATGTGAGGTAATTGATTTACAGTACATGAATATATATCCACACATATATGAATGGTAATTTTCAAATTAATGTAGGTGCATTTTGCTCCTGAAATGTGGGAGAAGACACGCCAGGACGGAACAAGGAAATTAAAATGTAACGCAGTTCCTACTTTGTTCACCTTTTCAAAGATTGTTAAAACACGAAAACCTCCAAAACAGAGGAGTGTAATGGAAGAACTTGAAATTACAAGTAGAGCAGGCTCTTCAACTAGTTCTAAGGTAATCATGTCATCTTCAACCGAAAGTGACTCTCTGGGGTCTTCCGATGATGATGATGTTAGAAAATCGCCGTTCCACGCATCCTCAGACAAGCATTCTCCTGTTAATATAACAAAATCACTACCTCGCACATTATCAGATACAAAGGAGCAATGAATTAATCGTCTGAATGCGAAATGTATTACACTTAAAATCAAACTACGAGCTTAACAAAAAAAAAACTGCAACGACTACAAAGACAGCTAGTGAGTGAAAAGGAAAAATCAGAAGGTTCCAAATATTTCAAATTGCTCTCTACAGTTTTTACTGCTGATCAAATCTATGCTATTGATCACCCGATGAAATTTCAAAGGAGGTCTAATGAAACTGTCAAAAAGGCCTTATCTTTAAAATTTACTTGCGGAAATAATGGATATGAACAATTACTAAGGCAAAAAATACCACTTCCATCATTACGAACACTGGCTAGGCGTACAGAAAACTTGTAATTTACTACAGGAACTTTAGATGAAGTATTTGAATTTTTAAAAATCAAAGTAGAAAACATGAAAGATCATGAAAAAGACTGCGTTATTGTGTTGAATGAAATGGCAATTACATCGTCTTCAGTATACGAGGGTGGATTGATAAGTTTCCGGCCTAACCAAGAGATGACGCCACTAGGCCTACGTTGAGGTGACATTCTATAGTACCATCCTTGGATAGCTTGTAGCTATAGTTTCAGCCCGATCTCCTTGCTAGTGTAGGTTTGACAGCACGCTGAACAAGACGCCTCTGTGGTTTTCGTAAAAATGGAAAAGCAGGAAAATCGTGCTGTCATCAAATACTTTTATTTGAAGGGGTTAACGCCGAAGGAAATTAAAAAAGAGATGGACTCAACACTGGGGACATCCTCCCCGTCATATTCAACCGTTAAGCAGTGGGTTTCCGAGTTTAAAAAGGGTCGTGTGAGCACCTCTGATGGGCCTCGCTCAGGACGCCCCGTTGAGGTCACAACTCCAGATATGATCGAAAAAATTCATCAAATAGTGCTGGGAGACCGCAGATTGAAAGTGCGTGAGATAGCTGAGACCTGTAAGATGTCATATGAACGTGTGCAACATATTTTGCACCAACATTTGCATATGGAAAAGCTCTGTGCAAGATGGGTGCCGCGTTTGCTAACAGTCGACCAAAAATTGATTCGAAAAAACATTTCTACCGCAAATTTGTCATTGTATAAGCGTAATCCAAGCGAATTTTTGCGTCGATTCGTAACCGTTGACGAAACGTGGGTCCACCACTACACTCCTGAAACCAAAGAACAGTCTAAACAGTGGATTGGACCAGGGGAACCAACTCCAAAGAAGGCAAAAACAATTTTTTCGGCGAACAAGGTTATGGCTACTGTTTTTTGGGATGCAAGAGGTATTATATACATTGATTACCTTGCAAAGGGTAATACTATCACTGGTCAATACTACGCAGACTTATTGCAACGTTTGAGCCACGAGGTGAAAATTAAACGACCTCATCTGGCGAAGAAAAAAATCTTGTTTCATCACGATAACGCACCAGCGCACACGTCAATCGTTGCGACGGCTAAAATCAACGATCTAAAGTTTGAATTGATGCCGCACCCTCCTTACTCTCCAGACCTAGCCCCGAGTGACTATTTTCTGTTCCCTAATCTCAAAAAATGGCTTGGCGGTAAGAGATTTGCGGACAATGAAGAAGTAATCGAAGCTGTAAATGGTTATTTTGAGGAGCTTGACGAATCAGTCTATAGAGATGGCATTAATAGACTGGAACACCGCTATGAGAAATGTATCAGCCTTGGAGGAGATTATGTTGAGAAATAAAAAAAAAAAATTTTTAAAAACCTTGTTTTTCTTGGTCAGGCCGGAAACTTATCAATCCACCCTCGTATGTTACTTCCACGAAGCAATATATTGGTAATATCACTTGTAATAATGTTAGGAGGTATAA